CCCCCCCTCCCATTTTCTTTTGAGACAAATTTATGGCTGTAAAACATTTCCTTTTCAGAAAATCTAATTTGCAGTGTCCAAAGCAATGCCCTGGGGCTCGGGGAGGGGGTGGCTCCTTTATTTTTCTGTTTGTCCCTCTCCCCCAGCCTGCTCGGTCCCTTCCCTTGCTCCAGCCGGGTGGGATGGGGTTGGTCCCGGGGTTGGACCCCACTGATGAAGGTGATGCCTGCCTGGGTACCGTCCCCCAGGGCTGAGAGATGCCCTGTCCCCACGGGGTCCCGATTGCACAGGGGTGCTGGGGTGCACAGCATGCCACCAAGCCGCTCTGGGTGCTGGATAGGATCCCCCATCCTCAGCCACCGGCACGGAGGACGGTGGGACCCCCAGGGTTGGGACCCCACTGGGGACCATGCCATCGCTCATGGCAGCCCAACCTGGTGCTCAGCATCCCCAGTGGCACAACCGGGGGCCAAATCCTGCCATCCTCAGGCTCACAGAAGGGCTGGAGGAGCTTCGCTCCCCAGCTGGATGTGGGCATAGGAATTTGGGGTGGCCGTGGCCACGTTCGGTCCGGGACAGGGGCGCACACCATGCAACTGCAGCTGCCGGAGCGAGCCTGGACAGGGGATGCTGCTGCCTCCTGCATCCCCCGGCCGGGATGCGCTGGGAGCAGCCACCGCAGCCCCCTCCCGACTATCACCTAGGGCACAACCCGGGGGTGCTGAGCCTGGCCGTGCCAGTCTATCCCGCCACACCGGCTGCCATGCTCGCGTCGCCTGCAGAAATAAACTGTGTACGTCTGCGAGGCACGGAGGGCTGTGTCAGCATATTTAACATGTGCTTTGCTCAAATTGCTGCCCCAGCCGCAGGCATCTCTGTATTTGGGGGTTTCCCAGGGTCAGAGCCCCCCGTCGCTGCTCCAAGCGTGGGCAGGGGGAGGCTGGGTCTGGCAGTGGGGTGTCAGGGCTGCGGGGGCCGCGAGGGCTGCACAGACCCTTCAGGGTGAGGGCGCTGGGTGTCAGCATCGAGCCGGCCCCAGGAGCTGGCACGAAGCTGCTGTAGCAGCTCCTCTGTTCACTTAATGTCAAATAAATGTATTAAACCTCCGGCATCCCTCTCGCCTCCCTGTTTTCCTCATTTCCACAAGGCACTGCTGGAGGGGGACGGGGACGCCGGCTGTGGCCACGGCATTACCCCTGCATCCCCTGGCCTCGCTGCGGTGGGAACAGGCAGTGGGCATGGCAGCCCGGCTCTGCACCGGCTCACGGCACTGCCAGGGGTGTGGGATCAGCTGTGCCCCTCCGAGCCCCTGCAGCACACGGCCAGACCCAGACCCTGAAGTGGAGGGGAAAGGCAGCCACCGGCACAGACCCCTCCATCCCGCAACCTGCAGCCGCCTGTGCCCTGCAGCACGGCTCCCAGTGGGGGGCGGGGGGGGGCACCCTGCCCTGGCCCCCAGGCACCGGGGGGTTTGGGGAAAGATTTTATTTTAAAGGTTTTATTTAAAGCATCACCAGCATCTCTCGGTGCCTGAGCCAGCGGCTGGAGCAAGCGGCAAGCACCGGGACTGCTGCCCCACAGGTATCCCGGGCTCAGCTCTGCCACCGGGACGCACCGAGGGGCTTGTCCAGCTGGTTGCTAATTGCAGTGAGCGCACCGAGTCTCATGGGCCCCCCCCCCACAGCG